TTCAGCAGGTGCTTGGAGTTGAAAATGCTGAACAAGATCAGCTCTATTTTAGTGCTTTGAGTGGTAGTGGCAAGCTTGGTGTAACATGAATCTCTGCCGAAAGCAGCGATTCTAAGCCACTCCACATGCTATTTAGCAGAAAAGCAAGCTTCTGTGGTTCAACACAGCCTCAGAGCTTCTTGTTTTTCAAGGCTTGTGCTCGGATTTTTGGGGACAGATCTGAGATTTGACTTTCTACTGAACGGCAAGGCCTAAGTGCTGGTACAAATTCTGGGGGTATTTGGGGTTGGGGAAAAAATGATTTTTGTGTGTAGGTAGCCCAGTCTGTGCTACTTGGCTAGGATGAGAGATGCAGGTTTTGACAGATCAATGTGACTGTGTTTGCTGGACAAAGGTTTCAACTTTAAACTTTGAGGGGGCATACTGGGATTGCCTGAGAGGATGCAAGCTTGGAGTTCCCTTGAGAAAGGTTCAATGTCAGTTTACTGCACATTGTACACTTATTGGAGTACCTGACATCAGCTCATTGAAGACTTTATTGGTAAAACGGAAGTGGAAACATCTTCAGCCATTGCAAATCATCTTTGCAGTATGTTTTTTGTCCCCTCCTGGCTCCCTATACACATTCATGTATGCATATTTTTCCCAGGGGAGAAAATGGTGCAAATGAATGCCGCTTCTGCTCCAAGGGTGGGGGCGTGCCTGGCTCCGATCTGGAGTAGTGCCTCCAAAGAACAGCAGTAACACCCACCTTTCAGCTTCACCTCAGAGAGCAGTCCAGCTCCTCACTAAAGGCAATAGGAATGGAGATGGGTGTGTGGCTGTGTAAGCACATGTACGTGTGCTCTTGTACTCTCAGGTTACAAACCTCAAGAAACTTTCCAGGTTGGCTAGTGTCTTATTCTGAGCTCTCTAAGCCTCTCCGTGTGCATCATTTTTGTTCCAGCTTCATCTTCCCCAGCTCACAATCTGTCTGTCATGACTCACACACTCTCTGGCTTTGATTTAGACTCCATCTGCTTTCTCAGCCATTCAGATCCCAGTTTTTCTGTGACACATGATAGGAGAAGAGTGAGACTGAAGCAGAACATATATCTGTATTCAGGAGAGAGGAGGGGGAGGTGTGTTGACTCGAGACTCAAAGTTCCTCCTTGTCTCAGTTGTGTCAGTCCAAGTGTTTGGCTAAGCTGCAAGATTTAAGCCTGTACTTGCTAGTAATAAGACTGGGGCTGACTTGGAGAAACTTGTCCTTCCTGAGGGTGTGTGGACCCTCAGATCAGATTTGGTCTCAAAATGTTGCTACTCACTATGCATTTGTGGATTTTTAAAATGAATGTCCTTTCTCCCCTGCTTATTTAAAGGACTATCACAGTTCCCTGAGAAAAAATAGCCGTTGTTTTGCCTCTTCTCTGCAGGCAGGGGAAGGTGACACAAAGGTAGCAGGGAGTTTGTGTACTAATGCTTGGCAGCCAGAAATGTGCCACAACCCTCTGGTGGAGGCAAGCAGCTGGTGTGAACAAGTGACTTGCTCTCAGATCACCTTCTCACAAGGACAGGGTGACCCTTGGAGGACTGAAGATCGCTTAGGCAGGGAAAGGCTGTCCCCAGTTAGCTTTTAGAGGGGGATCACGTGTCAAAGACAACATGGAACTGGTGGGCTCTGAATTCCAGACAGCAAAAATACATCTCTCGCTCTTCAAGAGCCTAGCTGGGGAGGCTTCCCTCTACTATAAGCTTGTCATAGACTCTCCCACCCATGAGCATCATCAGAGAGGAATTGGTGCAAGGTCAGTCCTTGGAATTAAAGCCAGGAGGGAATTTTCCTAGGGAGAGTGCGTTAGAGGTAATGATATTTTTGACTTGCTCCTGAGACAGGTTATGAAAAAATACCTGTTAAAGTGAATGAAACTGGTCAGTGTGAGTTAGGTAATGCTGTACTACTATCAGGAAAGGAGATGTGGCCCGACATTCAGGAGAATACCCCTGAGAACATATTCTTAGAGCCTGGATTTATCCTCTGTTGCTGGTAAGTGGAAACATCCAATAGGCTGCTTGGGACTGCATCTAAGTGCCATGACACACCAAAAATATGATAGAAATAGATGTAGAATGTCAGAGGAAATCTGCAAAATACACAGAATTCGATTTTGCCTGTTTACTGAGAAAACCTCACAAGGACAGTGAGTTAAACAAACATCTTATCTTTGGATGCTAAGGTTTTGCATGCATGACACAAACTGACAAGACATCTTTTTGCAAGATACAGATCAAGATCTGCTCCAGAGTTAGAACTGGAATAGAGAGGGGTGCTTCAGACAAGGGTTGAGGTCTCTGCTGTTAGACACAATGGAGACAACCTGGCAAAAGTAAGAGCTGGAATTCTCAAATCTGAGGTATGCAGAAGTATGTGGAAAGTAGGCAGGGTAGAATAACCAGGAAAGAGCAGGAGTTTTCTCAGAGAAACCTGTTTACCAAGTGTAGAAAATGTGGCTTCCCTCTGCTGTATTTCTTGGCAGCCTGCTAACACTCCATATTTTTTTTTTTTGCGTTCTTATATTTTAAGACTATAACTTTGTAAAAATTGTGAACAGTGATTTAGAGAGACAAACACAGGTATTTGAAATATAGGTGCATACATGCTGTTTTACTCCTCTTCCTCCAACACTGAGGATACCCTCTCTTAAGATTTTCCCTTTCTATTTAAAAATTCCAGAGATGATGGGAAAAGAAAGAGGCTTTCCTCCCTTCCAGTGCTTTTCTTAGAGCCCTGGCTGAGTTCAAGACATGAGACATAGATCAAATATTTTCCTCCCATCTGTTTTTAGGGCATGGCTCAGCTTAGGGACAGAGGAGAAGCTCCTAACTGCACCCCTATCCAGGAAAATCCCAGAGTAAAAATTGAGAAAGAGGAAAAATGTTCTACATGGGAATGTTTGGGGGTGATACAAGATAACTAGTGAAAAGGAGCTGCAGCATCATGGGCAGGATTCCATCATAAGCAGCAATATGCTTCTAGGCTGGAGGTCTGGCTGTGTTTATTTATACTGGTGCATGCAGGCCAGGTGTGACTGGAAGGATGACACCAATGGAGAATGAGAAGAGCTGCTCCTCCTCCACTTTCCACATGGCAGATTGACTCAGGGTATCCCGACTATGTCCAGAAGTATTCATGTCCTATTACAATTCCTTCTGCCATGTTTTGTAGATATGGCAGAAGTCTTAGCATTATGAGCCTGCCCTTAGCCACCTTGCAGTCCACATCTGACTCCTGCACACACCCGTATAGTCCAACAGCATAACAGTCTTTGCACAGAAAGAAAGCAGCAGAAGAAAGGGTCAGTCTGATGCCCCTTCTCCCAGCTGAATCAATCCTCTGTAGGGATTGCAAAGAACATCCAAAAGCTTCTCTTTGAGGAGCAAACACAAGAAGACTGTCTCGACTGAAGAATGTGGTGGACTACTCCCCTCACACCAGCTATAAGGGGACATCCTCATCCTCATCTTCATCCTCATCCAGGTCAGTGGAGCGTAGGCTTATGTCCTTGAGGATGTCTGAGATGTTTTCAGCAACTGGCCCTGTCAGCTCCATCTCTTCCAACTCAGTATCAGTGGCATAAGTGGAGCATGGGACTTCTCCCTCTTCATGTGAGTGTGAGGGCTGAGGGGAGTGCAAGCAGAGAGGCAGTGGGCTCTCTGTGCTCAAGTCTGCTGCTTGCTGTGCTGCCACCGTGCAGTTGTCCTGCTGGCTCCACACCTGAGTGGCCTGACTGACCTTCTCACCACTGATGGAAGTCCGGTTGGTATCGCGGAAACTGGCAAGGGGTGGGCGGAGGCGAACCCCAGAGCGTGTGGAGCCCTCTATTGCCCTTTGGAGCTATGAGAAGAGAAAAAGTTCAGAAAGAATGGATGAGAGGGAGGCTGACCCAGCCCTACCCAGCAGAAGTACATCTACTGTCCAGAGTAAACGGATCACAAATAGAGACTCCCAGCTCTACCTTTGGTGCCTGTGGAGATCATCTTTTACACTGGTGTAATTTTTCATTCCACAGTAAATAACAAATTCCATACTGCTTTCAGAGCCAGTAATAGCCACTTAGTTAAGAGCTCTATGTTCATGGAAAGGATGAACCATCAAACATCCCTGTAAACAACATTTGCTGCCTCCTCTGAAATAGAGTCATCCATTCCTCTACATGGCTTCCAAAGGGTTGACTCAGAATTCGACACTGGATTGAAAATGTAGCAATTGCAGTTATATATATTGCCAGCTGGATCTTCCAGCACCTGTAAGTTATTGCAATGATCCACAGGACATTTGCAGTTGATTAGGAGGAGATTAAAGGATATGTACTTACCTCTTCCAAAGCCAACACTCCCCTCAGCTTCCCCATACTTGTTATGTAGGCATGGCTGAGGCCCAGTAATGAGAACAATGTATGTGTCTATGAGCAAAACCACAGAAGACCATTTCAGAGACTTTGAAAACTGGTAACATGATACTTGGTGCTAGACCCAGGACTGGGATTTAGAAATGGAATCACAAAGGTGCACAAGTCTGCAGTTACCCCAGCGAGAAACTACCTTTTCCCTTCCACTTTTCTAGCTAGCAAATACTACCCTTTGGTCCTTCTGCTATGCAACCATAGTCGGGAGTGTGTTGATGATGGAGAGCACATTCTCAAGGTCACTCCCATCCTGCATCTGGCAAACAAAGATTCTCATGCAACACCCTGTGTATTTGGGGACTTACGCAGATGCTATTTCATTTTGGTGCTGGAAATTAAACTGTCATATAGTAACATGCAAAGTCAGAACCTGCTTAGTTTATTTATTCCAATGCTTTCCTTAACACTAGAAGATTTATTTTTTTGTTGTTCCAGAATATTTCCTGTCAAAACTTAAGCTTGTTGCTGCTTATCCAGTGCAGTGAGAACACTGAGAACAAGTTATTATCTTTCTCTTAAAAAGTCTTCTTGAGAGGATATCACACTGCTATCAGTCTTCTTTTCTTCAGCCTAAATATATCCCATTATTTTAACTGTTCTTCAAAGATCAGGCTTTCTAAAACTTTCAGCATTCTCAGCGCTCATCTGTGGCTTATTTCCAGCATCCAAGTTCTTTAAGCTGAACTCTAGCTGGACTTTACCTGAGGCCTTACATGAAGTCATTCTTTCACAGCTGCCATTTGCCTTTTTTTTAACATCACATGAGATATTGAATGTCATGTTCAAATGTAAACTAGGGAAAATCTCATTTCTCAGGAACAAGACATTTTGCCCTAATGTAAAAAAGAAAATCAGACTGGTTAAATACAATTTGATCATGATAAGCTGTGATATTCTTGCCATTGTCAGTAGTCTCACATTTAGCTCTAACTATGCATACCTCAGATAGTTTGATTATTTATTCCTGCATTGTTTGTGCATCCAAGTTAAATTCAGTTGTCTGTTATTTCAGTTTCAGTATTTCAGTTTGCTCTTTTTTATGAGAGATATAAAACTTTCCCCATTTGCAGCCTTCAGGTGTAATTTCTTGTAACCTCTGTATTCTCAAAGATAAGTGCTAGTGGTTTTCATATTACTTCAGCCAGCCCTTTAGAAAACACCAAACTCATCTTAAGTATATGATAATCTGTTATTACTTTGCTCAAGTGATCTTGAGCAAAAGATCAAGATCTTATCCCTTTGATAACAGTAATCAATTAATTTTGTGCAAGGCGTATGCTGACTGTTCACGTTACATGAATATTGATAAAAACATGTATTGTGCACTTTTGCTTCAGTAGACTGCTTTCCCTTTCCAAAGCCCAGTCCTCTCACTCCTGATATACAATTGCTTTTATCCCCAGTCATCCTATGCTAACTCTAGAAGTTGTGTGATCCAGCTTCCTTTTTCCTTCTGCTTCAGTTCAATGAAGAGCCTATGATATACGGTGGTTTCAGGCAACTTTTCTCATACACTGAGACAGACTGTACACCCTGACAGAAACACTCTGAGAAATCCAGGTGTACTCATTCCAGTGCTGCACAATGACAAAGCAGAGTGTAAGTCACAATGTAATGCCCCCAGCAGCAAGGCATACAATGCTTCTGTTGATGTAGTGGCTGGAAAATCCTATGTGGTGTCCAAAAGGTATTTTAATAAATGCACTCAGACTTCTTATCATGTAGCCTTCCATTTTGCAGGAGTTTGGAGGTACACACAGAAGGTTATAGGAACAAACTGACTTCTGTAGCTGGATGTGGAAATATCTGGTGATAGGAGTTGTAGACTTGCAATGACAGGGTGGAGAAAAACATTATATGCCTCAGAGAGACATCTGCACCTACCTTATGTAGTGAAGTTCCCTCCACCAGTTGGAAAGGGGCAGGGTCTATGTGGCAGCTGTCAAAGCACACATTCTTGTTCAGCTCCTCCTGTTCCCAAGCATCTATCTGACACAGGAAAGAAGAGGAATCACTCTTACAGTAATCAGCAGTGCTGCTGTCTTGTGTACCCAAGGCCCATTCTCCTGTTAATGCTTCTTCCTTCCTGTGTAGATAATTCATCTTGCCCGTTATATCACACCCCTCAGGTTTCCCATCCCTTCCTTGCCTATGGAAACAGAGCAATTCCAGTACCTCAGAGGTTTTCTGAGAATATGAGGTTTTGCTCCTTCCTGCTTAAAGATGGAGGGAGTATCTTAGGTTTCCTTTCTGAGTGCATCTTTCTCTTGTCATTGCTAGATAATTGTTTCTTTGTGTAAAAAAAAGAAGGAACAACAAAGATCCACAGAAAGATTTAGGTGAGGGGGGACCTGTGGAGGTCTCTAGTCCAAAACCCTGCTCGCAACAGGGCTGACTTCAAAGCTAGATCAGATTTTTCAGAGCCTTACTCAGCACACCTAGCAGAACAATCTCTTTTCTTATTGGGTGAGACTTGCCCACTGTGCAACTGTTAAGAAAATGGCTTTAACTATGGCCTTATGTGGCAATCACTGAGGTTTTTGGAGTTCAGGAAGTATTGCAAGTGATAGGAAATGGGCAAAAGAAGCACTCAATTAACCTTACTCCCTTTCTGCACCCAGTCTTACCTCTTCTGGCGTCATTGTGTCAATGACTTCCACTGGCTCCTGTAGGAGAAAACACTGTTCAGGACAGACAAAGAACCCACAGTTTCACAGAGTACAGAAAGGAAAAATTTGCACAGCTTCCTCACCCCATGTGGTCCCCTTTTTGTTCCAAATAGTATACTGCTGATTTTAGACCTTCTTTGTACTCATACATTATAAGGGGTACTCTACTTGCTGTGCTTGCCTTGCCAATGAAGATTGACTATGGAATGATGATGGAGCACCTGAAGTGCCTAAACATGGTCATCTAGTAGTACTGTAGATCATCTGAGATATCCTGCATGGGGTCCAACCACTGCCCTAGAGTGGATGGGTCTCCCATAGGCTCTGTATGATATCCACCAACCCTGTGCAGCTATGTCAGATACCCATGGGCATCTAACATGGCACAGGGCAAAAACATTTCTTTCGTTTTTATCTGGCCAAAACTGTTTGTCAAATGGAATAGAACTTCACTTTTTTCCAGGTTAGACAAAATAGCATGAAGTTGTTCACTGAGAAAAAGATGCCCATGCTCAGTCATGATGGTAACCTAGATGCATGAGCATCAATGGCTCTTTAGGAAGATATACACTCCTTTACAACAATCACACCCTTTCTCCTTGAAGAAGGTTCCCCACTGATGCTGTCAGAGTTCAGGACCATGAGTGTGTCCATGCTTTGGCCAAGTCTGTAATGGCTCTGAGTAGTAGGTTCTATTTCCATTGCATTCCCTTCCCTCTTCAGGGTACTGCTAGTCTCTCTGTATCCCTAACCTGGACGGCACGCTCTGTTTCAAGTGGATGGTTGTAATGGCACAAGAGCTGCTGGATCAGTTGCCTCAAACTCCTGAAATTGCCTGAAGAATGAAAACAAACACATGGATAAGAGAGAAGAACAAGTGAGAGACAAAAATACAAAGCTCTGTGCCCATCTCCTTGCCCAAGGCAGGCTGGGAAATAATGAGGGACATAGTAGGTGCATAGGACATGGCTGAGCCAGTCACAATATAGCATTCAATTTGTAAGAAGGTGTCCGGGACATGCCAGAATAAATATTCCCATGCAGTATCTTTTCCCCAAGGAGAGGAAACAAACCGTTACAAAGTATCCCTTGCAGATAATAATCATACAGCAGTGTCCCTGAAGAAAAAAACCCCAACAACAGAAGCAAGACTACTAACACAGCAAACAGTCTGATACAAGGGATAAACTGCTGTGATGAGAAGTTTCTGCAGTCCAAAAAGAGAATGTGGTTTGACGTATGAGTATGGAAAGGGTGAGAATTTGGACATTACTTCAAAGACAAAACTTATGAACTGCCTGAAAGTGACAAGTACAAAGGGGTAAGGAGTCCGTGGGTTGTGCCAGCAGTGTAATGGTGGGAATGAAAAAGACTGCAGAATTAGTCTCACAGGCAGGACAGTCAGGAATTAGCAAAGAGGAGGAGATAGGGTTTGGAGCTGTTGTGAAGTGAACAAGGCTGTGGAGAAAGGTTGTCAGAAACAATAACAGCTGTGAGCCAAACTAAAAATTATGGCAGGGAAAGCCTTGTGAAGTCACCCCTGCTCCACTTCCTCTTGTCACTCCTGGATCACTCAGTACTAGCTTCCTGTAAAATGTCTCACACACTGTCCTTGTTTTGATGTGATTCTTTTTCTGCTTTGGTAAGGAAGGTGAGTGGCTGTCCCACCACTTTACTGCCCTGGAATCATAAAGTGGATTTTCCTATGCCTTGGAGGTTTAGTCATACATCAGTGGTGTTAAGGAACCAGACTGTGCTATGTGCTATATTACATGCTAACCTTTGGGTGCCTAAAAGAGTGAGTCAGAGCTCTATCATCTGTATTCATTCTCAAGATTGGGCTACACCTCTGTGCTTACTCACTCTCTGCATATTTCAAGGCACATACAAGGAAAAAAACCCCTCAACATCAAATATATATGCTATATGATTCAGAAATAAGCTATGAGCACAGTCTTGTCAGTAAAGCTAATATAGACTGGGGTGGCACAAAAAGAACACAATACAACAGTATTTGTCCATCATATTAATGTAGATGAATCAAAGAGATGCATGTCCAAGGGAGAAGCTGTTCAGTTTTGGAGGTGGCTGAGCCCAAGCTACTCAAAAACCATGTATAGATGTTTAGCTCTTACGCTGCTTTTATCAGGGAAACTAATTCATGGGGTGAAGGAGGCAAGAGATGGGACCCTTCCATGCAGACTCTCCAGAAAATGTCCAAGAAGGTGTTATTGCAAAGGATGGAGCGGGGAGTATTGACAGAGTGAGAGCAGCCTGAGTGGGCCTACTTTTGCCGTGCTCTCTGAGGGATCACAAACAGAAGATATTTCCAGGTATGTTACACTGATGTTGAAGTGCATCAACAAAGTACCTTTAATACAGGAACAGCAGAGAAAGCTCCTTCTCAGTCTCTGGGAAATCAGCACCTCACACAGACATGTACACACAGTTAGCATGAAAGCTTCCACAAGCTGGCTAGGATGTGGCTGAGGCATGTCAGAAGTTACTATACCTGGGAGTTGCTGTGGCTCCGAAGTTTCAGGCATTTGTTTAAGAGGACTTGTCGGGCCATTGGGCTCCTCTGGGTAACTGGGAGTGGGACTTGGGGACTGAGACAGCTGTTATGGAAAGGAGAGAAAGTAAAGTCCACCCTGTGTCATTTCTTTCTAAGCCTCTCCAAATGCCTTACTGCTTCTTAAGCAATCTCTGTTGCAGTCTCTCCACTTCTCCCTCACCTCTCCCTTCTCATCTGTATCCTCATCCTCATCAACATAAGCAAAAGATTCGTGCTTCAGCTTTGGCAGGGTTGCCCATGGTCCCTTGCTGTGCCCATCGTAGGGTGCCTCAGACAGCTTCTGCTGCATTTCTCTGTTGAGGAGCTGTCGCCGTTCTGGGCTTATATGTCTCTGGAGGAGAGCCTGCAGTTCAGATCGCTCTACAGACCCCAGAAGGATCATGGTCTCTGCATAGCACAGAGCAGAAAAGACATTAAGTCGCTTCAAGGTTTTGAATATCCCGTGCCACACACTGCCCCTTCCTCCCTCCAACCTCTTCGAAGTGCTTGGACTCGTGTTATCTAGAGCTATACAAAAATCATTGACCAGACCCACTAGTTGCTGCTAATCCACCATGGGGCTGTGGGAAGCTCACCATGCCTGAGTTGTGCCAGTCCTCAGCACCACTTCAGAAGCAGGCTCTTTACTTATGCAAGATCCCTCCCTGTTGTCACAGTTCAGTCCACAAACTTCCCATACACCTCCCTTACCTGCTATGTCTGCTTCACTGTCCACACACCGGCTTACCTGTCTGACCAGCTGAAACAGCCTTCTGTCATACATCATCCATAGCGGAAGATTTTTAGGATGATTTTTTATGTAGTGGGTCACATTGTATCCTTCACAGCATGTATTTTGAGAGCTAGTTTATTTGGCTCTTTAAGCTGAGACAGTCTTCGGGAAGGACCAGATTCTCCACACTGCTTACCTGGTGAGTCGACCAAAGGCAAAGTCTTAACAGTGGTGCTTTGGAGTAGAGTTTGCAAGTCTCGGTATTTACAGTTGGAGGAGATGAATTTCACATCTTGGACCATAATATCCTCAACAAAGATATTGTATTTGCTGTGAATTTATGGACAATAAGGGGAAGAGTTAGCATATTAAAAATGTCTAGCAGATAAATTTCTTAAAGAAATATATGAATGACCACTACTTTAAAAAGTGTTCTCAATACAGTTGCTAAATAATCTTCTGTGAGAGTGACAGAAGAGGACTTTCCAACAGGATCAACACAGTTTAACTGGATTTTCATTACAGTTGTATTCCACTCCTTTACCCTTCACCATAAAAATACACATATATCTATACATATATGTATAGATATTTTATATATACATACCTATGTATATTATATATACGAGAGAGAAGACGACATGTATATGAATAACTGAATTTTGTTTTAAGCAAAATGTCCAAATAAAATTTTATTTTAAACATTTGCTGGAGAAAAAATTCCAAACCTCACTGAATTCAGAAAAAAATGGAAATGAGACACTTGATTTTTAAATTTTTAGACTGAAGCAATTTGGCAATATTAATACAAATTCAGTAATGTTGCAGATTATTCAAACCTGGGCTTTCAGTGAAAAAAGAAGAGAACAATTCTACTCCACCGCTTGTTATTTCTCACTGCAGGCCTATTCTTCCTTTTTAATTTATTTGTAGTACTACCCTCTTTTCATGACCTTTTATTCTCCCATGGTCTCATCCCCTTCTGCTTTATTTCTTTGCCACTCCCCAACTCCACCTCTGTTTTACTACTATACCTTATGTGATTCCAGCCCAGGTCTGGCAGGTAGGGCAACTTCTTCACCTGGATGATGCTATCATAGAGGCTGGGCTGCAGACTCTGGGCCACCATGTTGGCAAGAATGACAGCAACCATCATAGGGAGGATATGAGAGATCTGACCTGTCAGCTCAAAGCAGATCACAGCAGTGGAGACAGTGTGGCTCACTGCTCCTGTCAGAGCTGCTGCACCTTTCCCAGGTAGGGTGGAAAAGGAATAGGGAGAGAAGAAGGCTGTCATATAGAAGCAGCATGCCATGTCAACAAGGGAAGTCATGGGAATGGGACCAGGTGAAGAAAAAGAAAGACATGGAGACTCACCAATGACAGCGTACCCTCCAGGTAAGATTTGATAAACAATACCATCAAAGAGGATCCCATTGGGGAAAAGTGATGCCATGATTTCCCCAATAAGACGCCCAAATGCAGCACCTGGAAAATATCACTGATAATTATGGAATTAGCATCTAAGGAACACCCAGTCTGTGCCGTGCAGCTGTGCTGGGCAATCACTTGAGTATTTTCTAACAGAAACAAAATCAAAATTTACATTAAAATGACACTGGGGACTACAGAGTAGTTAGCTACAAAATACAGAAGTTAGACTCTAAGAAGAAACTGATGCTAAGATATGTAAATACAGTTGACCCCTCATTCTTTCACTTAGGCATACCGGGAACAGCAATATTTGTGATTCCCAGGTAGGAGGAAGTATTTTCAGACTATATAAAATGTCAGTCCAAATCACAGTTGAGGCCCTTCACACGCTCATTCTATGAATGTCCAAACACTAGAATCACAGCTTACAGAAGAGTTTAGGTGGGAAAGGAGGTCTTGTTCTGACCCCTGCTCACAACAGGGCTAATTTCAAAGTGAAATCAAGTCACCCAGGGTCTTGTCCAGGCAAACTTTAAAAGTCTGCAAGGATGGAGGTTCTCCAGCTTTTCTGAGCACCTTAACCAAAGAAATATTTTTTTTTTATGTCCCATCAGAATTTCCCCTGTTGCAACTTGTGTCTTTACCTCCTATTTGCCGTGTGTCTCTAAGAGGAGTCTTTCTATCCTCTCCGTCCTCTGCTGCATTAGGTGATGAAGGCTGCAGTTAGGTCCCCTCTTGGCCTTCTTTTCTGCAGGCTGAACAAGCCCAGCTTCTTCAGGCTCTCTTTCTCTGTTTTGTGTTCCATTTCCCCAACAATCTCAGTAACCTCCACTGGACTCATTGTACTTTGTTAAAATCTCTTGTATTGGTGGACACAAAATACCACAATATTCCAGAATTGTGTCCAAAATGCTGAATGCCGTGAAATAACCAATTTGTTTGCCTTACTGCCTAGGCTTTTCCTAATACAGCCTCATTTGTGGTTAGCCTTCACCACTGCAAGGGCATGCTACTTACTCATGTTCAGTAACTGCCTACCAGAACCCAGAGGTCCTTAGTGCACACCGTTTCATTTAAGAGCTGTGGGTACTTAATGCTGAACTTCATGAGCTTGTACACTTTAGTCTAACATAGCCTCTCTTACTTAACATTAGCATCATATAGCATATAACAGTTCTATGATTCTGTATTCTTTATTTTTTGCACTTGGAATTAAAACCAGTTAAAAACCAATAAACCATCATGGGGAGGATATGAGAGATCTGACCTGTCAGCTCAAAGCAGATCACAGCAGTGGAGACAGTGTGGCTCACTGCTCCTGTCAGAGCTGCTGCACCTTTCCCAGGTAGGGTGGAAAAGGAATAGGGAGAGAAGAATGATGTCATATAGAAACAGCATGCCATGTCAGCCAGGAAAGTCATGGAAATGGGACCAGGTATGCTACCATATTTCAGTCAGAAGAAATAAATAAATGGTGGATTACATTGCAGGTACTAGTTTTGAGGTTACCTATTCTAGTTGGCCTTCAAGGATGAAAGGAGCAACTACTACTAATGTAGGATGAAAGTTTCTCTGTAGGTGAAGAGGCAGAGAAATTAGAAGGTCATGCTCAGCATGCGTCCCCACAGTGTGGCTTTCCTTATGTAAAAGGACAGGAATTTCCTCCTCAGCATTTGGGTTTGGGGGCGGGGGGTGGGGTGGGAAAATGACAAAAGCAGACACTCAGAGGCTGGTATATGGACAGTTGAGCTTGTCATAGACATCAAGTGATGACTCCTCATCCGCTAGAAGAAACCTACTGGGTACATATGCAATGTCTCTCTTATCCCCCCCACCTGTCAGACCTGTATGCTGCAACACAAGATTGAAACTCACCTAGAACAAAAACAGGCATGAAGCCTCCGCAGGGGATTGGCATTGTGGTAGCAATGACAGACATCCAGAACTAGAACAGAGGCAGAGGATGTGGTTGTTACTGAGCAGCAATAGCGTTTCCTACAGCCCCACCCTACTGCCCAGCCTGAATCCATGAGGAGACATGTTCTGAGGGATTTGGCAGTTCATCCAGAACATGAAGTGCTGTAGGACCCTGCAGAGGACCTCTGGGTGACTGCTGTGGTGTCAGGGAAGCTGAATCACCAAAGGGATGGATGAACACGAAAACTCCTTTGCCTTGGACCTCAGAAGTTGATATTTTCTACTGCTCCAAACAGATTAGGTTTTTATAGAAACAATGTTGTCAAAATTTCACAGTCTCAGAAAAATTTCAGTTTGAAAGGAACTCTGGAGGTCTCTCCCCGAACTCCCTGCTCCCAGAAGGGCTAATTGCTGAATTCTATCAGGTTGCTCAGTGCCTTATCCAGGTGAATTCTGAGCATCTTGAAGAATGGAAATTCCCCAGCTTTTCTGGGCATTTTTGCCACTGCTGACCCACAGGAGAGAATTTTTTCCTGAAGTCCAACTGTCATAAGTTTTCTTTATTCCAGCATGTGTTTGTTGCCTTTTGTCCCACCACTATGTTGAGCAAAATGATAAAATCCATCCTGGTATTGCTAAGACCAATTCAAACACTGACTTAGCCCAACACATATAGACTTCTGGAGGCAACAATCTAATCTTGCAAAAGCCTCAAAGGCCAATGTGGTCATACTTTCACAGGCAAAATGACAAGAGATTTCCACAGTTGAGAGAAACATAGAGAATGATGCTGTTTCAAAAGCTTGTACAAAAATATGTACTGGCAAGATGTCCCTTGCTGCATCAGTATCATCCATAGAAGAGAGACAGCCATGGTCCAGCACATAAAGAGCAATACTTTCAGGTATTTCAGGAGCATATGCTCCTCAGAGAGAGCAAATCCTTCCGGTTCAAGGTCCACCTTTGAGGAGGTGATGCCTCTGCCAACATTGTTGTAGCTGTAGACAGATGAGATACTAATCTGCAGACAGTAAGTTTGGTGAGAGGAAATCCACTCAGGACAGCTTTTCTGCTGTAACTTTCATAGGATGGTTGGCATAAAAGTGAAAATGAAGCCAAGATACAGCCTGCCATTTAGGAAACCCCTCTATAAAGGTAACAAAGAGCCAGCAACACCGCATTTCTCAGCCCATGGTAGAGGAACATGCTCTGAGGATGGGTTAGACCATCAGTTTGATACTGGCTGTTGTTCTTCCTTCCACAAACCATTTGAATATTCCAGAGGAGGCATTTCTGTTTGGCCACAGAGGCCAGCAAGCTGCAGAAGTGAAGTACTGCTAACTATGATCTGTCTTTGCAGTACCAAACCCAGGCCAAATACAACTGAGAACTGGGACTATAGTGCAGTGCAGAATCAGGCCAAGTCTTTGGCCAGAGTCAAAAACTGCCCATCAGTTTCTTTTTTATGTGGTCCATTCCAACTGAATATGTACAGAAGAAAATAAACTGTTTGGAGCAGTTATCTATGAGTTGAGTAAGCCTTTAGCTAATGTGACAAGGGCAATGAATCTAGTGTCTGAGGAGACAGCTCTTCCAAAGGAGAACAGATGGGCTCAGGATAGATACACCATATAGTCCATCCCTCTTTTGTTCAAGTAAATGAGATCTCATCTTGGTACACGATAATTGGAAATATCACAGAAGCAGAACCCTTAACTGCCTGTCAAAAATTTGATACAGTGTTTTACTTCAGGTGGAAGGGGCTGTGTCAATCAATCATTTTTGTCCATTCTTGATCTACTGAAATGTTTAACCAATATTGCAAGGTGGCCTCAGCTCTTTTGTTCCTTGCAACAAAACCCCTGCACCATTTCTATGATACTTTTACCCTTTTATCCTCCCTGTTTTTTTTCCTTCCAGGAAACCCTCTTTCTTTCTACTTGTATTTTGAACACTGGAATATAATGTTTTCTTCTTTCAAATCTCTTCTCTTGCTCTGTCATATATCAGTTAAACAGCTGATCCTTTCAGAGATTGAACAGTTGCAACTTCTGCAGACCATGTCAGCTCAAAACATTTAATCTGCTGTTGCTTTCCAAGAAGTGAGCAAAATTGTTTTCAACTGCATTTCTCCATTATAGTACCGCTAGCAAAAACTTGAGCCTCATGCAACTGTAGATTGTGCTTGCGTATTCTTATTTGTCTCCTATCTGTAGTCAGGAATATCAAGTAGACCATATCAGACTTTATTTAGATCATATATAAATTATCTGTCAGCTTTTTACTCAATTATTTATTTTTTGTGGAACTTGAGAAATCTTTCTTTATGTAGTCCTCCTCT